GGGTTTATTAATAATTGGTAAAATATAATGTTGAAACATGTTATCAAAAAATAATTTAGTAATCGGAAACTCATTGTATTTTAAACAATTTATTTTGAAGTCCCCAATACAGAATAACTTTGTTCTTTATTGATTTTGAGAAAAATTTCTTCTAGATAATTAGAAAAAGTTTCAATATTACCTTCAGGTGGTCTATAACAGGTAGAAACTATAATGCTTTTAATCAGAAACTATAACATTTTTAATCCTTTACAATAGAAATCATAAACTTCAAGTTTATGATTTCTATTGTAAAGACTTCACTATCGGGATTAGAAATGGAGTGGTCTTTTCTTACTTTTATCGCTTGATCATTCCGAACATAAGTTGCAATCCCTCCTCTCTTTTTGTATGTTTTTTCTTTCAGAAGATATTAATTTATAATTGGGATTTTGAAAGTTAGAATTATTTTGGATTGATTTGTCAGAATACCAAGTTTCTGTTAGCTGAATAAATAATTACAATCAATTAGGAAGTTTGTCAAAATTTTTATTTATGCTTCTTATATTTATGTGAATTACTGTAAAATTATTTTTAATAGTTTCAAGTTCAGTTTTAAAAGTTTCAGTTTTAAAATATCGAGAATCAAAATACATTTATAAAAATATAAAAACATAAATTAAACTATCAAGAATCAAAATACATCTATAAAAATGGCGTGTGCTTTTTATTAAGATAAGTGGCTATTTCCATTTTGAAATTTTTTTTTTATTGTCTCAATAGTAGGAACACACAAAAAGTAACAAAAATTTAATGCTATTCCATCTATTAAGGTATATCGCAGCAGGCATGCGTTGTCCTAAGGTCGTCTAATGGACTATATTGGAAGTTCATAAAAGATATGTAGATCTTTTATGAACTTTTGTAGATCTAAAGCTTGTAACTTCTTTTTGTTTATTTTTCAACGTTAACGCTTGATATTCTCGGTGAATAATACGTCATCAAAATGCAGTGATCAGCTTTCTAAGTGTAGTGTTTCCTAGATTTCATCTTTAAGTTTAACAGTTTCTTTATATGTTGATCTGAATGGACTGTTCTGAATTTTCAAACTCTTGATATTCTGCCTCAGACTCGGGGTTGACGTTGTTGCTCATTTACTTTTTCTAAAGTAGGCTTCAAGATTATTTTTCTTTTTCTTTTGATGGATGGGTAGTTTTTTAACAAGCAGCCTTCCCAGTTGTATACCCAACCCGTCTTTTGCTTTTAATCTGAAGATGATATGTACAGTTTTGCATGTACGACTTGAATTTATAAATGTGGAAAACTTTTTTTGTTTTGTTTGTCATAAACTTCTTTGTCATGAAACAAAATACCCCAAAACATTTGACCTCCCCCCTCCCTGTCCAAACGTGAGGGCAGTGATGTAATAAAAAAAATTAATCTTTACTATCTTATAGTAAATTTAAATATAGTAAAGTTCAAAAGTTATGACAATTTTTTTTTGGGGGTGGGGGTTGGGGATGGTAATTGGAAATTTTGCATGGTATTAACTTTTGAACTTTAGAACAGTTTTAAATAAAATTAAAAACCTGCTGATGAATTTAAATTTAATATAAGGTAGTGAATTTGAAATTTTTTACTAGATTGCAGCCCTTACGTTTGGGCAAGGGGTTCAATCGTTTTCGGGTATTTTTATTTGGCCTCCATTATTTCAATTATTAACAAAGCACCCTCATTTGGCATAGGCATTATATAGCTTAAGTTTGAACTTTGATCAATTCATTAAAGTGTCATATGAAATATCAAAATATTCTGCAGGCGTCCATGAGTAAAACAGTTCTTCTTTTCATATACGACTAATAAAACAGTATAGGAGAGAGTCGGGTAACCCCGGACGGCGGATAACTCCGGACACTTGATGTACAGCTTAAAATAAAGAAACTAGGTGACTTTTAATACTAGAATAACATTATTTGAGTAAAAATATGGCAAATGCAAAATATCTATCATAAAATGCCAAAGTGAATGACTGGAAGGGCAAGAACTTGTTTTACAGAACCAGAAGAGTGACGTATCATCATACTTGATTCACATATTAATATACCTAATTTTTATGTAAAGTAATTTTTTTTAATAATTAAAGATATATTTTTATTTAAAATAGTTATTAAAAAAAAATTCGTTGAAAAGTTTAATTCACTGGTTTTAAAACTAGTATTTGTGAATAACGTATGATCGGGTAGTATCGGACACATGTTTGAAGGGTGGCTCCGTACTACTTAATTCGTTTACATATTAATAATAAACAACTTTTTTTATATAAATATTAATACATTTAATATAATTATTATTTTAGGAGATATTGAGGAGATAGTAGTAGGATAAGTTTATTGAAAGTATTATGAAGATATATTAGATTAAACTAAAAGATTTTAAAAATAAAGTAATTAATAATTTAATTTGAAAAAAGCTTTTAATTTTGCAAATGGTTTCTTAAAATTATTTAACCCGATGCAACCAATCAGACGAAAAGCTGCAACGAATAACAACAACAATAATTTATTACTGTGTTTGCAGTGTCGCATGGATTGATGGGTCTGGCTCCAATGTGTTACTTGTCATGGATTGGCAAGTAAAGTCTGTTTCTTTTATCGACATATGTAAAGTATGTTTTAATTCAATAAAACAGCACAAACATCTTTTTAACATTCTTTTTAAATCGATGAAATTAGCCCATAAAGTGTGAAGTCGCTTTATATTAGTGTGTGAAACAAATCGTTATTCATAGATATTAATAATAAAAACGTCTTGAATTTTTAAACACTATTGAAATTAATTATTCTATATTATTCAGTCATAATATATTGGTATAAGGTAAAACCTATCACGTTTGACAGATAACATTAAAGCATAAAAACTTGCGAAATCACCACGGTTTATTCTATATATACACATATACTACTATATATAGTACTATACAAGGTGGTAAACCACAATTAAAATACTAATTTTGGAATAAAATGTGAAAATATTGTTTTTGAAATTAATCAAAACTTTATAAAGAAGAGTTTATTTTTTGATATGTGATAAAAATCTACATTAACAGTTTTGTTTATCATAGCATCGTTTATTACACCTTTTATTTATTTTTCTAGATTTTATTTTTTTTAAGTTTTTTTTTTTTTTTGTTTGTATGTATTTAGGTGCTCCCAGAAGTCCTTGCGGTCTTATCATAGAGCACCGCGGGAGAGCATTTAACAGGAAGTTCACGCCTCCTTCCATACCAATGTCGCTTGTTGGGCTAGAGATGGCGTCGAACCTTGGACCTCTGGGTTCTGAGCCAGAACTCTAACCACTGCGACACGGCTGCTCTAAATAATATAAATAATATTACAAATATAAATAATATAACAAATATATATTTATTTTTTAAATAATCATTCATACCTTTAAATATCTCTCTCATGGAGTTAGATATTAGATATAGGGAACAACAGATTTGAAATTTTTTATATGGTTTATTTAGTCTTACTCAAAGTAAAGTGTTTTAAACTATAAGAGTGTGTTCATGATATGAGATCTGCTCTTCCAATTAAAGAAATATATTGCGTAATTGTGCAAAAAAACATATTGCCGGCCTAAACCAAAACCCTCAGTCAATGTATGTATACTACCTGCATGTTCAACCTAATTAATTTGGCCGATGTATGTACAAAAAATAAAAAAAGACAGAATAAAATGATAAAAGCATTCTGCATAAAAAGGAAAAAAATTAATTAGTAGATTTGCGTTACTTTCCGCACTCATTTAATGTTTTAGTCAAATTTTAATAACCTCGTATTATTACCCTATTGGGCTGAGCAGATCTTGGAACATAAGCTGTTTGTAAAAGTTAAGTGTTTTTACGCCATTATATATTTTTGGTTGAGTTTTTTCAGAACTTTTGTTTTTGCATACTTTTTTACTCCTAGGGATAACTTTATGGCACATTTTTAACACTCTTCTTTTAAATCTTTTATGAAAATTGTTTTTTTTGTGGTCTACCACCTGTGGTGCCTGCCTAGATTTATTCAAATTTAAAAGAAAATTAACGGAGATGCTATTGAGAACCATAAAAATTTTTTATTAGCGCCTTGTTCTTTTAAATAAGCTGCAGTCAATTCTTATTCAACATTTCGACATAAGTTGACTACCTATATAATTAATTGACAATAAATTAAAAATTAACAATAATCGCTGAGCTGAACGTAAGTTTGTATCGAGGTTTATTTTAAACTACACTGTCGTAAGCATGACTTTAAAAAATTAAAAAACTTAATGCACATTAAAATTTTCATTAGATAAATTTTGTTGCAGAGGAGACCGAGGCTAGTTGCCTCTGTTTTTAGTCTTTGAGTTCTGTAACCCTAATGGCAACCCTAACAACAAATTTGTAAACATTTTTAACTCGCATTCATTATAAAAAAATTTTTTGGGGCTGGAATTTTAAAAATATTTTTTTTCATACGAAGAACTATTTTCTTTGTAAAGTAGAAATGAAGCAATGTTTCGAAAGTTACATTTTTGTCCAAAAGACACATAAATCCCAATATCTCCCATGCGCATGCGCAAATCATAACAATACTATAGTGAATGATGAAATATTCAATTAAAAAGATTCTGTGTAACTTTCATTACTTTCTGATGAAAAGCTCTGAAGATAAACGTAGTTCGTCAATTTACCCCTGCCGTCAACTAGCCCCGGTCTCCCCACTTTATATAGTTGAATATAACTTAAAACTGCATGTTATTTGTAATCAACTGTAGTGTTAAAGATATAAAAAATGAGAAAACATATAAAAATTGCAAGACCTCAACACGTAAAAGATTAAAATGACAACGCTAAAGCGAAAGGTTAGCAGTTATGCTAACCACGTCCCTGGTAGTACCAGGGACGTGTTTCGGAGTTAGAGAGAGGGTTGTAACCTGAATTAAAGTGGCCTTCATAGGCTTAGGGAGGTGAACTAAATAAAAAAAAAAAGTTAACTTTATTTACTACTCTCCAAAACTTATTTTTTTAATCGCAAGAATTCGTGAGAAAAACAAATAACACACTGAAAACAAATATAAGTTTACCATTTATAAATAACTCATAAGTTCATATTTAAGTTATTATCATTAAATAGTAAATACTTAAACATTTATTTTATATTCTTATTACAAAAATACTTATTTAAAAAAAATACATATCAAATTTCTTAGAAACACTATAGCGAATTCAAAAATTAAAACTATTGCATATTACATTTTTCATCGTCAGATCCAAGATCTGTCTTTAGAATTTTACGCGCGTCTATTTTATTTACAGCATCGCTACTATTTGCAACACTTGCAGATCGATTATTGACAACCGTTGGTTCAACTTTTAACGAACTTCCACTTTTTGAGCGCGTCACACGAGTTGTGACAGCTAGAAAAATAAAAAAACAACAATAAAATTCGCCCAATTATAAATTTTTATTAGCTCACAATAATCAAAGACATAGAAACTGAATATAACTTACGGCTATGTAAAACCTTAACTTCTTGCGGAATTTTTTTACTTCTAACAATTGACGAGTTTTGATTTTTATTTCTGACAGGGGACAATGGTGCAGAAACTAGACCAAAAGCAGAGTCCGATTGTAAATATGAGACGGCTGAAGTGGCAGCTATATTCTCTTTGTCACATAAGCTTGCTGGTTTATTAAGCAACTAAAACAAATTTAAATAATTAGAAAAAAAATCACAAGTGGTAGTTTTTTTGTTGTCTTGTGAGAATGCACGTCTCACAAGACGACAAGACTGCACTTAACCAGTGCAGTCTTATCGTCTTTTCAATAAAATAACCATTACCGTTTAAGACTTGTTTTTAAAATTAAAGAATAACCTGTCTTGGATAAGGTGAATTTATAAATTATATCATTGTGCAAACACTTTTTTATTATCAATATTACCCATTTATTTAAAACATTAAAAAAATTAGATTCTCTAAAAATGCAGAAAAAAAAAATTAATACTTACATCTTCGTCTGAAGAACTCAAATCTTTGGCATAAGGTTTAGCAGCTAATCGTAAAGATTTTCTTCTCCTAGAGTGTGTATGACTTGTTGATGATTCCTTTCGTTTTGGCTCACTAACTTCTTCTTTTACACTAGTCAGGCGACTCCTTTTAGCTGAGGTATCTATATTCAAATAATAAAAAAAGAAAAAGAAAAGTTAAAAAAGATGGGTAAGTATGATGCTAAGATCAATAAGAATACAATGAACTCAAAGGTGAATATATAGGCGAAAAAAAAAAAAAAATTTTTTTAAATTCTATACAAATTATTTATTGTAAAAGCCAGATAAATTTTGTAATAAAAAAAAGTTACTGTTACTTTCTAAAGCAGTAAACATATTATAGTAAAAAATATATATTAAAATTTAAATAAATTTAACATTTCTTTAATCAAAGTGCAAAATTTTCAAGTTAAGTAGTTAGCATATTAAAAATATGCTTAAAAATCCTATCTTAAGCTTTTTAACAATGAAAAAAACAATAAACCACAAAAACAAAAACAAAAAAACGTTATTTATTGTTGATTGGTCTTAACAAAATATTTTAGCTTTCTTTTAATTCTAAGCAGGGTTGTTAACCCTTGGCCTTGCTTTAAAATCAAATATTAAATTACATAAAATATATCTGAGAAAATTTTGTAGAAATCCAACAGAAAAAATAACTATATTAACACATAATAACCATAATAACACTAGTTAGATAACCAGAGCCCTTTTTTTTTTTAAAAAAAAAAGTCTCTTTTTTAAAAACCATACAAAAAATTATGCTCTACTGATGCAGGTTGACATTGTCAAAACCATTCAGCAGCTGACAAAATAAATTAAAAGAAAAAATTCACTAAACTTTAATCAAGAAGAATTTCTGTTAAAAAAAACTTTGAAAAAAAAAACAGTTTTCTAAATTCAGAACTTTGTTTGATAACTTTTATTGTGTAAAACAATTGTGTAAAAACACCAGCCCCTGTTCACGTATCTATTCTTAGTGTGAGAACATATCTATTTATAGTGCAAGTTGATGTGTCCTCATAAAGCTTGTATGCCTGACTCATTGCTAAGAACTTTGATATTTCTCAGTTGTAATAATGATTTATCGACTAGATATAGTCATAATTAATGCTAACAACTTATAGCTAATACTAAGAAATAATATCAAAATTTTCTTTTAGTTTTTTACCTTGATGTTTTTTACAATTACCTTTTGTTATTGGCTTTTCATATATATATATATATATATATATATATATATATATATATATATATATATATATATATATATATATATATATATATATATATATATATATATATATATATATATATATATATATATATATATATATATATATATATATATATATATACAATTTATTTTCTTTAGGCTTCATCAAGGCCTGCTCTTAGCTGCAATTTTACTTTGCAACATATGATTTGGGATCTCATGTTGCAGCATGTGATATAAGCTTGGTATATATATATGGTATATATATATATATATATATATATATATATATATATATATATATATATATATATATATATATATATATACATATATATATATATATATATATATATATATATATATATATATATATATATATATATATATATATATATATATATATATATATATATATATATATATATATATATATATATATATATATATATATATATATATATATACACACACACACACACACAGATATATATATATATATATATATATATATATATATATATATTTTATATGATCTTAATAAAAACTTCAACCACTAGATTACATTAAGTTTTACTTAGATTACATACCTTAGGAAACTTGACAAAAAAAAAATTATTAAATCAATCCCTTTGTTTTGTTTTTTATATTCTGGTACACAAAATGAACCTGCAAAAATTATAAAATGTTAACTACCTGTTGAAGGATCTTGTGTTGTTCGTTTTGGAGTATGAATGGATTTCGTAGTAAGACATTCCTCTTCCTCGCTTGATAAAACTTTCAAACTAGACAAAGATTTAGTAATCGGAGATACTAAACTTACTTTCATCAAAGAATTACTAGCTTTAAATAGCTTTTCAAACTCTGCTATTTTTAATAAAAGTTCTTTTATTTGTTTCTGCAAACACTCATTATTTTCCATTGACAAGGAGATTTGTTTATTTAATGAGGAAATTTCTTTATCTTTTTCTTTAGTCATTATTTTATATTTTTTTTCAAGTTCATCATTTTTTAACATAAATTCAGTGTTCTCCTCCTTGCACTTAGATAGACTTTCTCGCAAACTATCTATTTGCTTTAAATTACTAACTGGCTCTTTAGCTATAAGATGGAGTTTTTTAAGATCAGCATCCTGTACATTATATAAAGCTTTTAAAGTATTAAATTCTTCTTTTAAAATTTCATATCTACGAGTTTCCTTAGATTGTTCTTTCTCATAGTTGCTCACAGTTTTGATAAGATCAGATTTTAGATTTTCATTTTGCTCTTTGATTAAATTCATCCTTTCTTGTAACTCATGCAATTCATCAACATTAAAATTATTAGCTTTTGTTTCTGTGGAGTTTGTTTTCAAATGATCTTCACACTGTCTAACAACTTCCATATATGCTTGTTTTTCTTTTTCAATTGTGAATTTGTATTCTTTACAATGCTCCTCTAGGTGATTAACTTTTTTAAGCAGATTTTCAATTTTTTTATTTTTTGCTTCTATTTCATCAAAAAGGTCTTGGTTTCTCTTTTCATTTTCATTTTCACGTTCGAGAACAAACTTTTTTGAAGCTTCCACAATACGTGTGCGCTCTTCATCTACTGCTTTCTCAATGGCTCGATTCTGATCTCTTTCTAACTGTAAAATAGTCTCATGTTTGAAAACAGTCAGTCGACATTCATTAATAAATTAATTTAACAACATTTACATTAATCATATAATAAGTGTAATTACATTAATACAAAACATATTAAAACAACATTTATAATGTACATTCATATAAAACATAGTAAAACAATATTTACAATGTATAAAATTTGTATAAAAAGTAGTTAAACAACAATGACATTACTATATAAAACATAAAGAATTAAAAGAACATCTATAAAACCAATAAGTTAATATGAATCTTATATAATAATGTAAACTTACAATAGCAACTTTTTCTTGAAGCTGTAGAATAAGGGAGCTGAAATCTATAGAATCATCAGAATCCACATCACTATGCTTAACTCTGTTTTGTAACAAAGTATTTTTTATTTGATCTAACTTTGATTGCTTAGATATATTTTTCTCTTTTTCATAACTTAATTCTAAGAACACAGAAGTAAGCTTTTCAGAGATTCCATTACATTCTTTGGTTTTAAGCAAAAGATTATTTGAAATAGTTGCAAGATCTTTTTCTAGGTTTTGAACTGTTTGATTAGCTTTATCCAACTTAATTTGAATATTCATTGCTGCTTTTCTTTCGTTGTCAAGCACTGCCTTAATTTCATCTACACTAATTTTCAAGTGGGATATATCAGCATTGAGTAAATCATTTTTATCAAGTTCATGACTATAAACATTTTCTAGTCGTGCTATTTCAAGAGTATATTTCTCCGCAGATTCTTTAAGAAGAAGAACTTCATTTATTTTGGCTCGTAACTCTTCATCTAAAACAATCTTTTCTTCTATTAAAGTATCAAGATGCACTTTTGTCTGTTCTTTCTTTACATTCATTGCTATAATTGTTGCATTCAGTATTTTTATTTCTTCAAGATGCTTTTCTTTTAACTTATCAAACTCTTCACTTTTAAGTTGAAATTGATTTTTGTATTCATCTTTAACAGTACTGATGTACTCTAAAGATTCTTTGGCATCTTTAAACTCCTCTTGCAACTTTTTAAACTCTGCATTTAGGTCATCTTTTTCTTTTAAAGTACTTAGGTGTGTTTCTTTATATTCAGATAAATTTTTAAATGTTATTGACAACTGCTCAGTAAGCTCATCTTTTTCTGTTTGCAAATATTGAAAAGATTGTTTTAAACTATTGAGCTCTGTTTCCAATTTTGTTTTGATATTTAACAAATTTTCTTTTAGGATATTTATTTCTTTTAACTGTGATTTGTACTTCATATTTTTCGCTTCATAATGATTTGTTAAACTTAAAATTTTTTCATCTTTAAATGACAATAATTCTTCTATAAGACCCAACTCTCTTTTTACTGATTCAATTTGTCCTTGCAAAACTTCTTTTTCATTTTTAATATCAATATACAAGCTATCTTTTTTTTGAATTTCAGAAAAAATATTATCCAACTGTTCCCTTAAGTCAGTTTTACTAATCACAAGTTCATCTTTTTCTTTAGTCAAACCATCAATTTTCTCTTCGTTGATTTTAATAGATAAAGATAAATCAGAAATATATTTAGCTGAGACTGTTAATTGTGCTTTTAACTCTGTGTTCTCATGCTGATACTCGTTTAAGCTTTTTTCTTTCTTGTTAAAGTCATCATACAATTTATCATAAAGCTGTTTATTTTCTGAAAGCTCCTTTTCAATTATAACATTTTTGCTGCTCAATATTTCAGTTTGTTCAAATAATTTTTGATTGCTACATTGGATTTCAAGCAATGATTTTTTTAGTTCTTCTAATGTGATAGTTTTTTCAGAATTTTCATTCATCACTGAGTCCAACTTTTCCATTATTTTCTGCTGCTGAAGCTGTAAATTTTCCTTTTCTTTCTTTTCACTAGAAATTAACTCACTTTTTTCTAAAATATCCAGTTCTTTTAGAGCTATGCTTTTTTCATACTTTAACAAATCTGTATTAAGACACTCTATTATATTTTGAGCTTTTGCTGCTTTGTGCTTCCATTCTTCCAGTTCGCCTTTTAATTCATTTTGGGATTGATTAACTACTTCTAAATTTTTTTCCTTTAACGATAATTCCTCTTTTAAATGTAAAACTTGAAACTCTTTTTGACTGTTCATCTCTTGCATGTTAGTCTTTTCTTTTTCGCAACTTTTGTAATCATTTGCCAAATTTTCAATTTTTTCATTTAGTTGTTCTATTAAAACTTCAGCAGACGACAAATCATTTATATAGGTGTTATTTTTTTCATAAAGCTGCTCTTTTTCCTTCTTTAGACTTAAGGATTCATTTTGCAAATTTAGCATAGACGACATCACATTCTCATATGAATCTCTTAACTCTTCTAACCTTGTATTTACTAGAGATCTTTCTTCAATAACATCTTTTAATTTACTTTCTAATGCTGAGATATTTAAAATTTTCTCATCAAGTACTAGTTGTAGGTTTTTTATACTCTCCTGAAGAAACCGATGCTCACTTATAAAATTATCACAACTCTTTTTTTGTTCTTGAAATTGTTCTTCTGAAAAAACTAAGTTTTTTTCAGCACAGTTTAGTTTAAGTTGTAACTCATTCAATAATTGATCTTTCTTGTTCAGGTTTTCTTCAAGACAAACTTTTTCTTTTTCAATTGCGCTTAATGTATTTATGAAAGATTGTTTTTCTAAATCAAATTCTGCTTCTTTTTCTGTATGAGCAACTTTTTGTTTGCTAAGCTTATCTTTAGTGTCCTCTAATTCGCTTGTTTTACTTTCCAACATTTCTTCTATTTTAGATAAATGCTGACAACTAGCTGTACTTAATTCCAATTCATTCTCAATTTGACTTTTTGACAATTCTAATTCTTTTGATTTTACAAATAGTTCATTCTTTTCAATAGTAGCAACTTCTAAGTCCTTTTGAACATTCTGTAACTCTTGTTGAAGCAATACGAGATGCTCCAATTGTTTCTTATATTCAAAATTAAGTTCATCAAATACTTTTTGTGAATTCTCTTTTTCAAGAAATGCAGTTTTTTCTTTCTTTTGCATTTTTTTAAACTTATGAACAAGTTGGTTATGAATACCTGAAAGTGTTTTCATAAATTCTTGCACATCACAAAAACTATTTTCAATAGTTTCCTTATCATTTTCTTTTTCATTCAGTAAATTATTGAGATCTGTAAAACTTACAAAGGTTTTTTGCAGGCAAGACTTTAGATCTTCGCATGTTTGTTTAAGATTTGTGTTTGTTGCGTTTAAAATACTGTTTTTAACTTCTAAAGCTGATATAAACTCTAAAAACTCAACTTCTTTAACCTTGTACTTCTCAAGTGACTGATTGAGTGATTCAGTGTAAACACAATGTTGGTTTGTGACATCATTTAATTGACAGTGCAGCTTACTAACTTCTTCTGACTTATTGTTGCTTTCTATAAAAATTCTATCTCTATCACATGTTAGAGTGTTCAGTTGGGATGTCAAATCTTCTTTTTCATTAAATAATGTTTCAATAAACTTTTTATTTTCATTACAAAAGTTTTGCAATTTTCCAACTTCTGCAATCAAATTCTGTTTTTCATTTTGAAGTGTACAATTATTAGAAGTTAATTCGTTTATAGAATCTTTATGCATTTTCTCAGTTTTTAAGTTTTCCTCATATTTTAAATTTAAAATTTTGCATTCTTCATTTTTTTCAAATAACTCTTGGTTGGTTAGAGAAAAACTTTCTTTTAAAATTAAAATCTCATTCTGTAAACAATTTATCTTTTCTTTGCTTGTTTCTAAAGTTTTACTCATTATAAATTGTTCCTCAATCAACAGTTTTTTTTCAAGCTGAAATGCTTCAATGGTTTGTTGCATTTTAGTTTCAAATAATGTCTTTTCTTCATCTGCAATTTTTTTTAGTTCAGCATTTAATTTATCTTTAAGAGCGACATTATTAGTCAAAATATCATATTGACTTTGTAGCTCAACCTTTTGTTTAATTAACACATCAAATTGCAGACACGACTCATTAAATTGTAAAGTAACATGTTCTAACTGATTCTTCACAATGTTCATTGTCATTTGCATCTCAACTATTTCAGTGTCTTTAGAATCTATTATGGCAATTTTATCTTTTATTTCAGCCTCCTTTTCTTCCTTGAGTGCATCATTTTTCTCTTGACTTGCTAACAGTGAGAATCTAAGATCTTGAATTGTATCACTTTTAACTTTTAAATCAGCTGAATGGTCATGTAACTTTAACTCTAATAGTTTTATTTCTTCGTTCAGTTTTTCTATCTGATAAACATAACTTTGCATTTCCGTTTCTGATTTCAACTTCATGTTAACAAGCACATCATCTTTTTTTTTAATTTCTTCTGTTAGGCAAATAACCATTTCTGCATTTTTATTATACTTATTTTTCATAAGTTCTTTCTCACTTTGTAGAGTTTTAATTTCAAACTCTTTAGCAAAGACGGTGTTTTCAAGTTGCAATAACGTATCTTGATATTCACTCTTTTCTTTAGCAAAAGATTGCTCCATTTCAATCATTTCTTCTATTTTTGACTCAAGATCGTTTTGCAGATTTTTAATATCCTCATAAAGACTTTTTACTAGCTCATCACGCTTTGATAATAAACTTACAGAGTCTGCTTTCTGCATTTTATAAATTTCCAATTCTGATTTACACAAATCAATTTCCTCTTTAAGATCAACATTCATTTTAATAACTGTTAATTTTTCTCTTTCTATTGAAGCACATTTTGTTTCTAAAGTCAAAACCATGCCTTCTGCAAAAGTCTTCTGTTCAGTAGAAGTAAAAAGTAATTGCTCAATAAGAACTTTTTCAGACAAAATTGCATCATATTGTTTGCTTAATGATTCAAATGCATCGATTTGTTTAGAAAACTTTTTCTGTAATTCTTCATAGCAAGCATTCAAAGAATCCAGAGCATTTTGTATCAAAACATTACTTTCTACCTTTGCATTAATTTCTTGGTTCATCCTATCAATGAGATTGTTCTTATCAACTTTTAATGTTTTGAGGCTCAACTCTAAATCTTGATTACTTTGCTCTGTTTCACATAGAGTTATTTTTAATGATTCAACATGAGAGTTTGATTGATCAAGTAAAACTTTAGTTTGGTTATGTTGTTCTAAAAGAATTGTGAACTCAGAATCTTTCTCCTTCAACTTATCTGTTAAACAATTAAGACTTCCTTTTATATTTTTATTTTCAATTTCCTTTAAATCTAACAGTCTTTTGGAATCTTTCAAATCTTTTTCTAAATCTAACTTTACTTTCTGAATGAGGTTAATCTCTTCAAGATAATTAGCAGCTTTTTCTTTAATTTCGTTATATTTTAATGAAAATTCATCAGCTTGCTCTTGCTTTGATATAAGGACATTTTTTAACTGTGAGCTTAATTCATCTACTCGCTGTTCACTTAACTTGATAAATTCATTTTTCTCTGAAATAGAGCTTTCTTGCAGCTCAACTTTGTTCATTAACATAGTTAAACGCTTTTCCGCATCAGTTTTTTCAGACATGCATACATTAAAATCTTCTGACAATTGTAAAAAATTTGCTTTCATCTTTTCAAATGCATCTAGGCACTCTTTGGTTTTTTCTTCTGCTAAAAACAGTTCATCTTGTTTCTCTAATATCTTTTCTTCGTAACTATCCAGATTTTTTTTCATCTGACTTTCAACATGAGTCAGCAATAAATCTTTTTTAACTATGTCACTTTCCAAATAATTTATCTTTGAAATTAGCTCTTCAGCTTGTTCGTCTGCATTTTTTTTACTTTCTTTCAATAATGACAGCTCCTCTTGATTTTCTTGCAAGTTTGCCTGCAGCTTTACTGTAGTTAAAACAGAACATCGCAATTCTTCTTTCCTTAACATAACTTCTTCTTCAAGAGTAGAAAGCTGCTTTTGTAATGTATTAATTACAGACTGTAACTCTATAATAGTTTTTTCTTTATTAATCAGCAACTCTTGCATGCTTTTTTCTTTAACTTCAAACTCTATAGTTAAGGATTTTAGATTTTCTACTTTTTCATCAAATAACAACGTCACTTGTTGAAGTTGATCTTCAGCATTTTCAAGATTTTTTTTTGTTTGGTTGCGTTCACTTAACAAATCTTCATATAGCTTTGTTTTCATTTGAAAATCTTCACGTAGTCTTTCTTGGTCAGAGTTTAATTGTTGTAAAGATGACTCTTTACTTTGCATAAGCCCAATCGCTTCTGTTATCTCTTCCTTTAACAATTTAACATCTGCAACAAGCTGATTTCTTTCATTACAAACATAAGTGTGCAACACACTTGTTTCAGCAAAATCTTTTGATATCATAGAATAGTTTTTATTAAGAACTTCATTTTCCTCTTTTAAAATACTAGCTTGTTTGCTGATTGATGAAAGTTCATAATCAATTTCTGCATTTTTTGTTTTCAGTTCATCTATACAAACCTTAAAATCATTTTCTTTAGATATGCTATTTTGTTCTAATCTTTTAAAATCTTGCTGCAATAATGCAAGCTCCTGTTCTTTAGAACTCAACAGAAAAGAGACATCGTTCAACTGATTAAAAATAGCATCATACTTGTGATTTGTTTCTTTTAATTGTGAATCCTTCTCTTCAAGTCTGCAAGACAACTCTGACTTTTCACTGATTAGTTGTTCATTATCTTCTTCCAAACTTGAGATAGTATTTTCAAGACGCATTTTAGTACTTTCTAGTACTTTTAGGGTCTCTAGCATAGCTTGAATTTGTTCAACCAAGTCATTGCAACTCTCTGTTTTATGTTGCAAACTCTCCTTGAGAATACCATACTGAAAAAAAACTAGCAAAATTAAAAACAAATGAAAAAAAAAACAAACAAAAAAAAAAACATAAGCTGCAAAAAAAGTTAAAAAATACCTGATCTTGGAAAATTTGCTCAATAGAACTTATTTCTGCACACTTATTTTGCAGTGCTTGCTGAGATTGTTCATATTTATCTTTAAGTACTAATTGTTGCATTTCAGTTTCTTTGTATAACTCTTGTTCAGTAATAAACTTCTGATTTGCAACTTCTAGGTCAGCCATTAATTTATTTATTTTTTTATTCAAGTCAGAGATAGTTATTTGGTTTTCAGTTAGTAGATCTGACTTTGCTTTTAGCTCTTTTTCCCATGCACATTGACATTCTTGTTCATAACTTTCTAAGGAAATAATTTTAAAATTTTTTTCCTCTAACACTTTTGCTAAATGCTCATTTCGAATTTGTTCTTCATTCTGCATCTCCAATGTCTTTAACTTCATTTCTTCAACTTCAGCCTTTCTTTCAGAAAGAACAACAAGTACTTCATCCAATTGAGACTTTAAATGAATTTTTTCATCTGCAAGTTGTTCCAAGGATTTAACAACACTATCAAGTTTTTTTTGTTGTGATTCATGTTCTTCTGTTAAATGTATTAAATCACTATCTTTTTGTTTCAGCATTATAAAAAATTCACTTTGCTTCTTTTCAAAGTCGTCTTTAAGCAAATCTCTTTCATGTACAAGTTCAAGTTGCTTCTTCTCAAAGTCACTTTTAAACGAATCTTTTTCAGTTAAAAGCAGCTGCAATGTACAATTTTGCTCCATCAACTTGTTCTCAAGTTCAAAAACAATTTTCTCATGTGCTTCCAATTTCTCTGTAGCATTCAAGAGCTCCTGATCTTTTTTTGAAATAGACATTGTTAATTCTTGATAATCCTTTTTTGAATTAAGCAAATCAACATTTAACTTTTCAGTAATATCTTTAAGTTTGCATTCTTGCTCCTTCATAAGTTTTTCAGAAACAACAAACCTTTCAAGCATGACTGCCATTTCATTCTCCTTTTTTTCAGCACAACTTTTAAATACAGAAAATTCCTTATCAACATCACACTTTTCTTTATAGAGCTTTGAAAATTTAAACTCAGAGGATTCCCACTTACATTTTAAGTCTTCAGCAAAGTTTTTTTTTTGTTCAAGGTCTTTTGATAGTTCCTTAATTTTAATCAAATGTTCTTCAACTGCTTTTGATAAAGATATATTGTGATCATTTTTATCAGCCAATTTTTTGGACATTTCTTTTTCCAACTCTGATAACTGTGATCTAGCATTTTGTTTATTTTCTTCTATGATTTGACTCAATTGTAAAACTCGCTTCTCCATGGCTGTTTTAATTTCTTCTAGTTCTTTCTTACTGTTATTAGCTTCAAGAAGACTTTTGCTTACATTTAAAAGTTCTATTTTTTGCATTTTATTATCTTCAGTTATAGCAGCAAGCTCCCTGGCCTTTTCATCAATCTTATTTTTAAAGGTTGTCACTTCTTTCAAGTGTGTTTTTTCCAGTTCTGCTTTGAGATCATTAAAAGAATTGAGATGATTAGATTTTATTAGTAATAACTCTTGCTTTTGCTCTTCAATGCTGAGTTTTAATGCCTCTTTATCTTGATTCACTTGAAAAAGATTCCTCTCAAGAATTTGATTTTCATGTCTACTATCATTCCACTTTTTCTGTATTTCTGAGATTTGCATTTGTAATTCATTAAATTGATTCTTTATATGCTGTTGATCACGACTCATTTCTTCCCTACAATACATACATAGTATTAAGTACAAACACATATGAATAAAAAAATTCTGCATTGAGCATATATTTTATGTCTATATGTATATATGTATGTATGTATGTATGTATGTATGTATGTATGTATGTATGTATGTATGTATGTATGTATGTATGTATGTATGTATGTATGTAAGTATGTATGTATGTATGTATGTATGTATGTATGTATGTATGTATGTATGTATGTATGTATGTATGTATGTATGTATGTATGTATGTATGTATGCATGTATGTAAACATGTATGTATATATGTGTATATGGATCCAATGCCCTAATGTCAAAGAAACATTTTGTTCCTACTCCCAAAACGTTGCATTGAATGCTATGTTTGCTAAATTTTTTTAGATTTGAATTGATTTAGGGGGTCCACCACAAATCTGGTTTTTTGTCCATTGTACCAAAATTCGACATAGGGGCCATCCATAAAATACGTACGCAGGTATGGGAGAGGGGGTTTCCCAAAAGCATATAAACACATACAAGGGGGGAGGGAGTGTTAAAGACAGTGAACATGTACACGGTTTGACGATCCTAAACATGATTTTATTTTTAAAAAAAAAACATTGAATTTCATGTGTAACAAATTAGAATTTTTTTTTTTTTTTTGACTTCACAATTTTTTTTTTTAATTCTTTATAAATAATGAGAGAAAAAAAAAATCGAGTTAATTTAAAAACAAAAAAAAAATGCGTACGTATGTGGAGGGGGGAGGAGGTCTTCAAAAGCGTACAAATTCGTACAAGGGGAAGGTCATAAATCAGTGATTTTACTGCGTACGTACTTTATGGATGCTCCCATACTCAAAAGAACCAGAACAGAATGTAAAATTTAGCATTTTTTCTATGATATCAATTAAATATTATCTTTGTAACTGATTTGAAATATATATGTAATTGTAATTGATTTAAAATATATATATCTAATATTTTCTCTTTTTTAATAAATAAAAATATAAATATTAATTAATGCAGATATAATAAAATGCAAAAATAGTGTTCAATATATTCAAATAACTATATTTTTCACTTTATAACATAACACTTTTTGAGCACCAAAGGTAAATAATTTCTCACTATACAGTAAGATATTGTTTATAATAATATACATTATATATTCTGTATTGATAATTTTTAAAAGATTTGATTTTTTGGAAAATCATATTACAAAAGTTTCTGCATTATATTCATATGCAGATAAATCTATGTGTGAAGTTGGAAGGAATATTGCAGCATCTTTCAAGGACAAATAGATTGTTCCTAGATTTGCAACTCTACAATGGGATTCCAAATAAATGTTATCTTTGTCAAATAGAGACATTTCAGTGGAGTGTCTGTCTGTTCTAGTTGGAACTGCTAATAAAATTAGCAAAAGCAACTTGGAAAAGCTACTTTGCATTCCAGCATATGAACTAGGAACTAATATAAAAGCGAGTGATATCATCGCAGATTTGACAGTGGACGTGTTGAAATCATAGAACTACAAAGACTCTATCGTCAGCATTGCGTTTGACACAAGTGCATCAAACACAGAGCATGTCACTGCAGCTAGAGTGACTATTCAGCAACGCTAGGGTCAATGTTGCCTTTGGAATGCTTGTCATCACCATTTTGGAGAGACAATCTTAACACATGTATTTTCTGACCTCCAGATCAAGGTTTCTAACTTGCCAGACACCACTCTTTTTAAGTCTTTGTAAAAACTTTGCGCTGCTTTAATTGCATCCAGCTGATCGACTGTCAAGGTTGAAGTCCACCTCATTCAGTGAAAGTGCTTAAACATTCACTGACTGTTGTAGAGATGCTATGAAGCTCACTCAATCTGTACTAGTTTATCGTAGAGATGACTATCTGGAATTCGTCAAATTATGTACTGTTTTTTTCGATCTGAAGGACTACATAAAGCCAGATGGATGGCAATGCTGATTGACTCAATTAAAATTTGCCTATTTAAAGATCAAATTTGTGATCTTCCATTTGACACAATAACCACAAAAGCACAAACTACCAAAGTGAGAGATTTTGTCAACTTTGCTACCCTAATATATAGTGTCTGGTGGATGTCATGTAGTTCTGCTACAGATGTGCCATGGAATGATCTTATGTTGTTCTGATTGGTGTTAATCTATGCAGAATTACACCTCAAGATAGCAGAAATTGCGTTGAGAGCATTTAAGCAACACTTGTGGTACTTAACTGAAGAAATGGTGCTGCCTTCACTTAGGAGCACTAAAGTTCCACCAACAGAACAGCAAGCTCTTGCTGACTGTCTTTTGGATCAAGCCAGATAATATTGCATTCCAACCACAGCACTGACTCAGCACAGGATTTTGGAAGCCTAATTTTCCTGAATCAATAACATTATCAACAACACTTGCTAATCTTGTTGGAATTGATTCACGGTTAATGCTTCTCAGCCTGCAGCTCAATCCAGAGTTTCTGACCAAATTACGGACCGGCCGAATTGTACTTCTTAACAAGTTTCAATGATCAACATTCAAGCACTGAATGTGGTAAATGACAGCGCAGAGAGGGGTTAAGCTCAGCTCTGACTTCCTAGCTACAGCCAAGAGTAAAGAGCATTATCAAAATGTTTTGCAAGATGTCAAGAAGGACCAAAACAGGCAACCAGACATCCCAAAACACAAGATGTATGTATGTATGTATGTATGTATGTATGTATGTATGTATATATATATATATATATATATATATAAAGTGTCCAAAATTCAGTATTTTTGGTCTTTTGCTGAGGGCTCAACTCCAAAAGTACTATCTACCTCAGCTTTAATTTGGAAACATTTTAAAAATTGGACTTTAGCAATAGGCTTTTTTTAATCTTTTTGAAAAATCCTATTTTTTGAATTGCTTTTAAAAAGCATTTTATTAATCAATTTTATACTTGATTTTAGGTTTATATATATATATATATATATATATATATATATATATATATATATATATATATATATATATATATATATATATATATATATATATATATATACATTTAAGAACTTTCATTAAAACATCCATTGTGTTAAATTTAGCATTAGCTAAGTTGAATCTACTTTATGTACATCTTTAGAAGGTAAGTTTTAATCTAAAATACAGATGTGTTTCTATCTAAAGAATACAGTGTTTTTATTAAGTATATAGTGTATATTTTACATTTATTATATTATATAATATATCAAAATGTGTAAAGATATATTTACCGAATTACTTATTTCAAATTTTTGACCAAAAAAATAAAAAATAAACACTAAAAATATTAATAGGGTATGATGACAAAAAACATTTATTTCATTTCTATTTAATTTATTACCCTATTAAAAATATTTAATTTTAAGTTAAAAAATAATATACTACACTGTTTATTACAATATTAAGTGTTTTGAAAATTCAATCACTAATATTATTTAGTAAAAAATAAATAGAAATTTGTGAAATAACACCCTATAAATAAAATTTCGGACAAATTTTAATTACATTTATTATGTTATTTATTTCATGCATGCAAAAAATCTTTATACTTATTTGAAAGAGGATTTTATAATCTATTTAAATTTAATTTAATTAAGTTAAAAATATTATTTAAATATTGAAAATAAAATGGTCAAAGTAAAGGACCTTGAAAAAATGATAGAAATTTTTTTCCAAAAAAATTAAGAAAAAGGTAAAGCGTTTGTTGCTAAGCAGTTTATGGAATAGGGTTTACCCGGATCAACTGCTTACAATAAAATCGTAAAATTGGAGAATGGATCTCTAAAATGAAAAGTTGGAAGTGATCGAATCGCTAAGGTAGCTACTAAAGAAAATATTTTAAAGACTGCTGCATTTTTTGAAAATAAGTCAGGGTGCTCCCAAAAGAAAGTAGCTCAAGTTTTTAACTGTAGTCAAACTCGAATTTCCCAAGTATTAAAAACAATGACTAACATTTAAACTTTCAAAAAAATAAATTGTCCAGATCGTAGCCATCAGCAGAAGCAAGCTATGCGTCCTAAATGTGTTAAATTGTACAAAAATTACAAAAACTTGGATTTTGTTATGGATGATGAAAACTATTTTACCTTAAATTACCTGATAATGATAGGTTTTATGCCGCTGATCCTTCTCAATGTTCTGACAAAGTAATTTACGTAAAAAGTACGAGGACAAGTACTTAGTTTCTTGTTGCATCAGCCCTCATAGAATAAACCCTTTTTATATTCATCACAGTAAGCAGGCAATCAACCAGTATACTTATAAAGAGATACTAGAAAAAACTTTACTTCCTCTAGTATCAGAATATTATAAAAAAGACAATGAGCATATCTTCTGACCTGATCTAGCTCGATCACAATACGCAAAATTGGTCATCGACTTTTTAAAATTGAAAAAAATCAAAGTTTTACCCAAAGTTATAAACATAGCTAACGTTCCAGAAGCAAGACCAATTGAAAACTTTTAGGGTGATTTAAAACGGCTAGTGTACAAGAATAATTGGAGAGCTCAGAATTTGGAAGACCTTGAGGCGAGAATTAGATATTGCTATTCAAAGATGAATAAAGAAATTTTCCTTACTCAAATAAAACATTTTTCAAAAAAACTTTGTTAAATATGGTAATTGTTAAAAAAAATATTGTTAAATATGGTAATTGAAATGATTATTTTAATATATTTATAAACTACATATACTAACATATTAACAGTTGAAATATTAAATAATAAAACTTATTAGTTCTTAAAATAATAATTTTTAAATTTTGTCCAAAATTTTATTTATGAGGTGTTATTTTAAAAAATTTATATATTTATTGTATGATATGCAAAGTTACAAATGCAATTCTTTAGCTCTCTTGCAGCATAATTATTTTTACTACATAATATCTATCATATATTACATCAAATAAAAAATGTTTGTTCATTAAATGACAAGAAATGGTTAAATTACTCAAGTTCATACTTCTCCTGAATTATAACAACAAGACTTAAAGTGTTTTAATTAACACAATAAGATGAATTTTAAATTTTGAAATTTGATGAATTTTTAATCTAATATATTAAACAACAAAAAAATTGATAATTTTTTTTTTAATAACATATATTTTAACAGTTTGATAAAGAGTTTGTTATTCATTAATGGATTCTATATTATTGTAAATTCAAACAAACTTATCTAAAAAGATAACAGCGCCCAGTCCCAATCATTTATTTAAAAAGACAACCACACCCAGTCCCAACCATTCACAAACTAAAATCATTTAATCTGTATTCAAAACTGAAAAAGTGTAAAAAACACCAAAACAATGTAAATTAACACCAAAACAATGTGCAGTATTTAATACAAAAAGTGGTGTGAATAAACATCAAAAAAGAGTGCAACATGGAATACATCAAACCAATGTAATTTAACAGTTTCAGTATTTTTTTTGTGTTACACACTTTTTTAGTGTAATTGCTCACTTTTTGATTAAAAAATGTAATTTAAACAAATGACTATTTAATGTTCACCTCATTTCCTTTTCTTGTTCTTTCATTCGTGCTTCTTGAGCTTTGAGAGCAGCCTTTGAGTTGTGTCGCTCACACTCGTACTGTTGTTGCAACATTTTTATATTACGTTGAAGATCTGCATTCTGCAATTGCTTTTCCTCACAATTAGCTCTAAGCTGCAATAAATTAAATATATATAATTTTATCATTTAAAAAGCATCAATCATGACTCAAAAAGGCTGCAGACAACCTTGAGACTATTAAAGGCTGCAGACAACCTTGAGACTATTAAAGGCTGCAGACAACCTTGAGACTATTAAAGGCTGCAGACAACCTTGATACTATTAAAGTCAGAAGTTACTAAAAAAACAGCTATTAAGGAATTAAAGAAAACAGTTAAAGAGCAGGAAAGCAGTTAACAGAAGACTTAAAAAAACACATATTATATATATTAGGGAAACAAAATGAGGGGAGAAAAAAATGGTAATGTACAAACCAAAAAAAACAAAAAACAATAAAACAAACCCTTCATATAACAAAAATGTTTCCACTAACATAAGAAAAGTGTTTTTTAAATTGCAGGATATTCCTTGGCAGTCATTCCAGAATACAGGATAAGAAAAATAGGGTACCTTTGCGTTTCTAAAAATAAATTTTTGCAAAGCTTTCTGGGATAGAAATGCGGACAAACATTGCAAAGAAACAAAAGAATTTCTTAAAAACGCTAGTGGTTGTGGGATTGATATTTGGACAAACAAACAAATTGATGTCACCAAAACAGTACCCTATTAAGGAATCCCTAGAGATCAACAAAGCAAGAATTTAACATAAGGTAGGAGTTGGGGACCAATTTTGACACAATTTAACTGATGTCACTATTATATTATTTTATTGGTTTTTTCATTTTACGGTTTTTAATGCCTTATTTTTTAAACGGTTTGTCTTATGGAGATTTTTAATGTTTTTTTTTTATTACTAAATGATGAAACTGAAATTTTTATTACTAAATGAACCACAATAGGTCAGCAAAATATCATTAATTTATCATTATATCAAAAATATACAAGAAAAAAAGTTTATACACTACCTTTTTTTATTGAACTCAACTTGATAATATCAAAAAAAAAAAAAAAATTACAGATCATTCTATATTCATTTATCTTTCAGAAAATATAAGGATTATTATCTGCAAGTATATGGATTTCAATATATAGATAATGGGGCAGAGTCCCCTTTTTTTGGTATTGGAATATCGCAATTGATTTTTCATTACCTTCCAGACTAGCTGGAGCTCTGAAACTTTTAACATTTCTGTAGTGCCGATGATTGTGCATCTTAAAATTGTATCCAGGGCCTAAGATACCAATGAGAAAGGAGGGCTAGGGCATGTGCTCCACTTTTCTGTAGCAGAATCTTGCAATAGATCTTTGATTACCTTCCAAATGGAAGGTAATCAAAGATCTGGAGCCCTGAAATTTTTAGTATTTGTATAGTCCTAATAAATATGTGTTTAAATTGTTTCCAGAGCAGACGACCAGGGGTCCATGGGGCTCTGGGGGCCATGCTCTAAATATTTTCTCAAAAAAAAAATTATTTTTTTCATTTTAAGCAAAGTAAAGATACCTTTGAAAATATCATCTTTAAAATTGTTTTTTGGTTTATACTTGATTTATTCGGGTTTTTTTATTAAATGATCTTTCTTAAATTGTCTTAAGAAATTTAAAATGTTCATAAGAATTGCAATAAAATGGATTAAATATAGTCATCCATCTAAAATAATAACTTTAACAGAATTTAAAATTTTTAAAGACAATATTTTCAAAGTTATCTTTACTTTGATAAAAATAAAAAATGAAAAATTTTTATAAAAAAATAGGTGGGGAATGGCCTCTAGTTGCCTGCCCTGGAAACAATTTTAAAACACTTCTATTACAACTACTCAAATGCTAAAAGTTACAGGACTCTAGTTTGTTTGGAATGATCTAAAGCCTAGAAAACCTTGGATATAAATAACAATCTTATGTAACACTATAATACCCTTTCTGCTCAATTCCACAACAATTGTTTTCAGATATATAGTGTCAATGTTATAAAGTGTGTAGGCTTCTCTTCAATAGGAGGGAAAAAGGGGCTGTGATTTAAACTTCAATTTTTGTTAGAAAACAATACTTAAAGACCATTAGATTAACTTTCAATCAGGTAGACTTGTATTTTAACTTCATTTGATCCATGATTATATGTTTAGATAATTCTTTTTTAACATGTGAAAGCTTTTTTGAATTGTTTCCTATAATGGCATTGGTCACATCCACCAATCTTGCTAATCAACCAGGACTAAAAATTGTCCATTGACAATTTCTTCAAAGGAAATTTTACAAATATTTTATTTTGGTTTACATTTAATTGAACATGCCCCCCCCCCCCCCCGTGTTGTCAGCCCTTAAGATTTCAACTTGTTATGAAAAAACATGTTTAGAGTTGAACCATCCATGCCAATATTGAGAAGCCAATTGATTTACAAATCCAACAATTACATAAAAAAATGGAAATGATGTAGTAGGTCTGGGCTAAGAAGGTGTCCTATAATAAAGTATCCTACAAGCAAATATGTGTCCTACAAGCAAATATATGTGTCCTACAAGAAAATATATAAACTAACAACAAATCCTAGAAAGATTTAATAATATCTAAGAAAGAGCTAACACAGTGTCTTACAAATAAAGATATTATACTATTTCCAATAAATAAAGAAATACAGTCGCCTTAAAACAAAGATCTGATATAAACTAAAATCTAATAAGTTGTATCAGCAAGCATTGAATATTTTTTTTCACTATTTATGTTTATATAGAAAAAAGTAATTGGATTTCAGTGTGCATTTAAAAGTTAAATTCTGCAGTAAATTTTAGTCCTATAATAGTGTATCCAAGGACATGGATCACTAAGTTAGCATATGCTTTTTTTTTTACACTATTAGCAGTAAGCAAAAAATTAAACATTTATAATTTTTATTATATTGATTGTTTTATTTGATGTTTTAATTTTAAAAATGTTTTTGTATTACTGTAATGTAAAGAAAAATACATTTTGTGAAAATATTAACTTTTTTTAGCAACATAATTAACCTTCTTCAAGTGAATTTCAAAAAAGAATAAAACAAAGAAAATAATATAGGGAAACCAAACAATATAATTAAAACATAACACTATTTTAATTTTAATTTTATTTTACTAGAGTTTTGGTGCATTAAGTCTTGTGGCTTGTAGATTTGCAATTTTGATATAAATAAATAAAAATTAAAAAAATAAATAAAGCTGAACTGAAGGTATACATTTTAATAATTACTACCTTTACAACTTCGTCATTAACTTTTGTCATTTCGGATAAATTGCTATTGAACTCCATTTTTAGTTTATCAAGTGAAAAGCAAGTGTCAGTATACTGCTGTTGAAGTTTTGTCATTTCTGCTTGTTTCAATTTGAACTTTGTGTCTAAATCAGCTAACTGCTTCTTCACGGATTCATTAGAACTGAATTCATTATTTGTTTGATTTATGTCAATATCACCAAAAATATTGTAAACGGAACTTTGCATGCCTACTTTCTTCTGAGACTCAGATAAAGATGGTTCAGAAATTTTTTCACAATAAGTAGTTTGTACAGCTGGTTCATCAAAAGATATGAGGGAATCTACAGCTGTCTACAAAAAATATATATATACATACATATAAATAAATATATATATATATATATACATACATATAAATAAATATATATATATATATATATATATATATATATATATATATATATACATACATATAAATATATATATATATATATATATATATATATATATATATATATATATATATATATATATATATATATATATATATATAAACTTTTTCTTAACTTTTTAGAACTTTTAAAAGAATTATTGGTAAAATGCAATAGAAAAGCTTATAAAATTTCAACTAATTTCCCTTAAAAAATTGTCAAAGTTGTAGTACAAATCTGTTTTTGGGCAATCAAGATTTAGATGAGCTTCAGCTGTCAGTCTATTTTTTATTTAGTTACTAGTCTGTTTTTCATTATACTTACCAACTAGCATACTAGTTAAAGAGATAAAATCAATGTCATTTTAAAACTTTAATTCTATTAACAGTTATTTATACTTGAATATAGATGGAAAATTTCTTAGGAAGATAAACTAAATGCAATGTTTTGCCCTCTGCATTAATTATGGCTTGTAGGTTCAGCCTTTGAAAGGTTTTGAACTTTTAAAACTTATTAGGAAACTTGCAGTGGTAATACCGTCTGTAAAACATTAGTCTGTTTGAAAACATCTTCAGAAGAGCTGCTTAATCTTTGCTTCAACTTCTCAATGTCTAAATAAAAAAAATTGCAGTTAATTTTTGCTTTTTTTTTATGTAATTCATTTTTAAGGCATCCAGAAATACTTAAAGAATTATATTTAATTCTAACTTAAGATTTTGGAAACAGTTTGAATAAAATTTTGAAAAAAAAACAAAAAAAAAAACAAATACGAAACTTAAAATTATATTATCAAAAAAAGTAAAAGAAACAATTATCAGAGCCTCACAAAATACTTTGCCCAAATAATCAATTTAGTTATTGCATATTTTTATTTAGAAGGAACAGCTTTTTTTCTATAAATTAAAGCAAATATGCCTCAGTACTTCAGGATTGTTTTAGCAATAACAATATCAAAATATCAAAAATATCAATAATATGAATAACAATAAAAATAAAAACAACAATAATAATAATATATACAATAAAAATAATATAAACAATAAAAATAATATTAACAACAAAAATAATAATAATAATAACAATAGTAATAGAAATAATAACAAATATTTATTTCAGAGAATCTCAACAACATCTTAACAACATCTTAACAACATCTCAACAACATCTTAACAACATCTCAACAACTAAGATGTTTTGTGATGTCATTCTCTGTACCCATAAACTACACGCAACAATACATTTTCTCAGACACACAAACTGCTTTTTTTTTTAAAAGAATAAGTCAAATAGTACCAAAAACAAACACAAAAGTTAAATAAGGAAAAGTGAACCACTTTTAATAGTGAATTAAGCTTCTAGCACTATTTAATTTATAAATTAAAAACAATAGTTGTTTTTAACTCACTTCATGTTAAAAATGTGTAATGTGTAGCACTTTAAAACAAATGCATAACACTTTAAAACAATGTGTGGGCAAATTTTATATTAAAATCTTAAATTTCAATAACAATACTATTTAATAACTTAAGCTTATGAAAAAAAATTGTTGATATCTTTGAAGTGTGGAGTTGACAATAACAAGTTTTCAATATTGGAAAACTGTGAGGTTCAAAGCTTTTTTGTTTCATAATAGTATGCAGGTATTATTCACAGATAAATAAGGCTTTTTATGTCAAGATTTTTAACAGGAAGCATTTTGTTTTCAATAAAACACCATTTGACAATAGCCTGAGCATGAGAGGTTTTTAAACCAACAAAAATTTCAAGCATTTTGTTTAATAAAGCTGTTGACAACTAAGTCAGTTCCAACAAAACTTACTAGACAAACAAGAAGTACTTTAAACAAGATTTTTCTTTAAAACTTATCCAAAAACATTTGATTAAGTTTATAAACTATATGTTTAAGTAAAACTGTGATTGCATTAATATCTCATCAATACAAGTGAACACTATTTTGAGCACAAATAAAGATTTCAAAACACACAAGTTGCTATGCAATCTACTTAAGATCGGAAATAAAAATTATTTTTAATTTTAAGTAAATTGTCAAGAAATAAATATATACAAAAGTTTTTATTATATCATTGTTATTTTGTATATACTAACTTTAACTAGGATTGTTATAACCATAACAGAAAACACAACATTTAGTAATGTTTAGTTAGATAATAGTGGCCCCAATTGTCTTTAGAAGGCAAATAAAAAAAAAACTTTAGATTAATGGAATGAATATGGATATAGTGCAAATATTTTAAAAGTTTAAAAAAATTTATTGTATAGAGTAAAAATTCTAAAAATAAAACAATAAAAAATCCCACTATAATACTATAATCAGCCCAAACTGCTACTGCAAGTCATAAAACATTGGGTCCAAAAATCTTACCAATTAAAAATCCTACCAATTAAAAAGACATAATAGAACAAGATTTTAAAAAGATTTTCATTTCAGCATAAGTTTATTGTGTAGTACAGATTCTAAATATAAAATTAAACAGAAAAATGTTTACCATTTTCTTTTTGTTTTAAAAGATCTTGAGCTTTATTTCGTACCAAAATTTCTTGCTCATGCTCAGTCTGTAACTTTGCTAACTTCAATGACTCTTCTTCAAGTGCTGCCTTAAATTTTATCAGTTGACTATCTAAGCAATTTATTCTATTGTCTTTAGTCTGCATATCATGCAAAACCTAGTAAACAAATAAAATTTATGTGATTGAAATGTTTATGTTATGTATTGTTTTTATTATCACTTGTTAAAAGCTTTATTCACTATTTTATTTGAACATCCCATCCAACTAATACATATGGATACCATAGGGGATTCATCCGGTTATATGAAATAGGATACACAAAGGTTTTTTCAGTGGGATTATTGGAAATTAAAATACTAAATTACTTTATAATATGTATCATTTTATTGTATTTTATTTAAAACCAATAATATTTGCTACCATTTACCTAAGAACTTTTCTAATAAACATAACTTATTGCTACGTTATAAAAGTAAAAGTAAAAATGAGTTATTCACAATTTTATAGTTTTACAACAAACTTTGTAACTTTATTTCATCTTTTGATTTATTGCTGACTAAAAAGTTATACCAAACCAAACATATAACTAATAAACATATAATAATATCTTTAATATATAATCTGCTATATATTAATACTAAATTTAATGCTGCCGTTCTGGTGCTGCTGTTACTCATTCATGCATGTTTGACATGAAACACATGCCTTTTTTTTATAAGAAAATGTGAACAAAAGTGTATGCAAATATCTAACTTATGTAAACTAATTATGTAATGCTGAAAATTATATTAAGTTTTTCTTTTTTAACTTTAATTCACCTCCCCATAACCGAGAAGGCCACTACAGTTGAGGAGGCTACTTTAGTTGTGGTTACAACCCTCTCTCAACTCTATAACTCCAAAACACGAACTTTGACAAACAAGGCTGCTGGGTGGAGAAACAAGTTGAGCCCGGTACTACCAGGGACATGGTAGGGATCAAATTTGAAACTTCTCACTTAGGAGGCATGCCCTCTACTACTACTACATCACTACTGCATATCAAGTTTTACAGTTTTTACTGTATAACTTGATATGCAGTAGTGATGTAGTGTATATCATTTTGATTTTAATTTATTCACCAGAATTCTCTTCAATTTTCTTTAAACTATTTAATAAGTGCTTCACTAAACCTTGCTTTCTTACCTGCTGGAAAAAGACATCAGTGGTTCCAATTTTAAAAACTCAGGAGAACATTCTGACTACTCCAACTTTCGTCTGTCCTCTATCTTTTTTAGCAAGGTCTTTGAGTCTTTGATCACAAAAATTTCTAACATCCCATCTTGAATCAAATAACTTACTGTAATCAATACAGTTTTTGATTCTCTTGCTTTAAGGCTGACTTGCTAACTGATGTGACGGAATGATTTTATTGTGTATTAGATGGAAGCCGAGAGGTTAAGGCTATTACTCTTGACATATCTAATGCATTTGACAAAGTTAGACATGCTGGTCTTCCCCACAAGCTTGCTTCATATGGTGTATCTGAGAAAGTTTTGAGATTATCAAATCATTTCTTTCTAACCGTTTAATTAAAGTCATTCTCAAAAGCCAAGACTCGTTCATTTCCAATAACTTTTGGGGTACCTGAAGGTTCTATCCTTGGCCCTGTTTTGTTTCTTATCTACATTAATGATCTTCCTGAAAACCTTACACCTTAAGTGACTATTTGCTGATGACTCAACTTTTTACTTTTGTCATGACAAAAAGTCTCCTCTGTTCAATTGCTAAGAAAAGGCAGCCAATCTTGAATCTGGTCTCATCTCTGTAACAGATTGGGACTTGCAGTGGGGTAATTCCATGTCAAATGACCCAGTTCATTTCACCATACATCTCAGATTTTGCCAATTTTTATACAGTTGAGAGTGCTTAGTAAAATAAGAATTCCTTAAAAATTTTAGCCTCTGGCTCCAAGAAAATCTTGAAATATGATTGTTTTACTTTTAACAGATTTTGGCCTGGCCCCTTTTGTTCCCTCAGAATTTCAACATTTATTTAGAGGTTTCAAGTCACATAACTTTAAAAATATTTGATTTTTTTACTTAAAAATTTCTAACTTGCTAATTTTAAGGATGACGAATCCAGAAGTGTAGAAAAGTGTAGACCAGAAGTGTAGAAAATCATTATTAAGTACCTGTAATTATCAATTTAAATAATCTTAGGCAATTTTTTACATACCTGTTTTTAATGCTCAAGAAACCCATGTGGCCTTGATGATATCAAAAAATGTAAAGATTTTGATCTTCAAGTATATGAATTTCCATATATGGATAACTTTTTTGTAGCGGAATATTGCAATTGATTTTTCACTAACTTTCAGGCTAGCTGGAGCTCTGAAAAATTTGACATTTCTATAGTGCCAATGAATGTAAATGTTAAAATTTTTTTCAGGGCCCCAAAACATTATGGAAACTGGGGCAAGTTTTTGAAGGGGAATCTCGTGATAGATTTTTTACTATTTTTCAGACAAACTAGAGCTTTGAAACTTTTAGCATTTGTGTAGTCTTGATAAATGCGTGTTAAAATTGTTTCCAGTGCAGACGAACAAAAGCTCTATGGCCCAGGGCACTGGGCCAGCCACTTATTTTATCAAATTTTTTTTTTTTTTGCATTTTCAATAGTATAAAGATAACTTTAAAAAGTCTTCGAAAAATTTTTTGTACTTGTTCTGTACTATTTAATCATTAACAAAGTAAAATACAAAAATATAAAGTGTCAAGATTATGTTAAAATTTGCTTAGATGCGCAACGGTAAAAATATACATACGCCTAGTTGTTGTTATAGATGCATCAATGATACCAATAATGTTGATAATTGTAACCCAACACTCATATGCTCTAGGTCAGAAAAGTATGTTAAAAGAGCTGTACGGGTGCATCATTGTTACCATAACATCTTGCTCAATATTGTCAATTTCATTTATCATACTAATCTAATGAAACATATTTACACAGAATAAATTCACCAAATTTCAATGTATTGATGTTAATTTGCTGATTAGGTTAAATACTTTAAATACCAGAAAAAGAAAACATCCCTATTATATTAAAATCTTCACTTGTTTGTTTAAAGCTAACAGTATCTGTAGATTCTGGGTTAAATTGATGATAGCTCCTAGTTCCAGGAATTGTTCTACTTAGCGGAAAACATTTTTTCAAAGTAGTACACAATTCTGTCAGTCTTTCTTTTTTTTATCTTGAAAAAAATAATCCCTTCAATTCAACATCTGGTCATTTATGAGCCTATGTAGACTTTTGTAGTTAATCATTTTACAGTGCCACCAATACTATCACCATGATTTGTAGAAAAAAATGTCTATTCTGCATCAATGTCAAAATCATCTTCATGGAAACAGATATGGTAAAGGTTTTTGTGGTTTTTATACTATGCAGCACAATTATCTAAAAAATGAAGAACTTTTGAAAAACTATGATGATTTTCTTTTAAATAATTAACTATTTGTGTCTGAACTTTATACAAAAAACAAATATCGTGCTCATTTTCTTCTGACATGAAGCAAAATGATTTTTATTTAAGCTAGTCATTTTCATTTAATAAACTGAGGGCAACTGGGTGTAACTGAGGGCAACTGGGTGTAACTAAGGGCAACTGGGTGTAACTGAGAGCAACTGGGTGTAACTTGCATTGACTTTGGCATCAATGCTAACTTTGGATTTTATCTTGAATCACAAATGTGTAGTTTTTAGCAAAATCATCAAAGACAGTACAGCAATGTTTTGCCAACATTTTTTTGTTGTTGTTGGTTGAATAAATGTTTTTAATCCATATACTTGCAAATTAAAAATCTTATAGACATGTACTTCCTTAAAACATTTTAAGAAATATAATTGAAAACAGAATGCTCAAAAACCAAATGAAACAAATATGAACCAAATTTTTTTTTTAAAAACAATATTTTCAAAGTTATCTTTACATTATTAGAAATGCAAAAAAAAATTTTTTTTTGAGAAAAGTGGGGCATCTCCCCCAGTGCCTTGGCCCTTTGGTCATCTGCCCTGGAAACAATTTTAATACACATTCATCAGAACTACACGAGTGCTGAAATTTTCAGAGCTCCAGTTTGTCAGGAAAGTAGTGAAAAATCTATCACAAGATTCCACTACAAAAAAGTGGGGCCCATGACCCAGCCCACTTCCTTCCTTAGTGTCTTGGGCCCTAAAAACAACTTTAACATACACACTCATCTGCACTACAGAAATGCCAAAAATTTAGTCTAATAACTAATCTGGAAGGTAGTGAAAAATCAATTACAATACTCCACTAAAAAATTGGGGATCATGCCTTGTTATCCATATATAGAAATCCATATACTTGCAGATCAAAATCTTTTTACTTTTTGAAAGATTAATGAATGTAGAATAATGTGTAATAAATATATATTTTTTGTTATCATCAAGGCCACATGGATTTATTGAACATCAAAATCAGGTGTATAAAAATTGCCTAAATTTATTTAAATTGATATTTACAGGTACTTAAAAATAATTTTTCAACTTTCTGATCATTTCATTGGATTCGCCACACTTGAAAATAGGCAGGTACAAATTTTTAAGTAAAAAGATTAAATATCTTTAAAGTTATGTACCTTGAAACCTCTAAATAAAGGTTGCAACACTGGAGGGACAAGAGGGGCCTGCCCAAAATTTTCTATATATAATTTCCATGACAGGTCATTACTGACCTCTCATGGAAATTATATATAGAATTGATTCTTAAATTAGCATCTGCAAAGTTGCTTTTCCTTATCATGCTTGTCATTTTTTACTCCTGATTCCGTTTTTAACCTCTACAAATCTTTTTTTCGCCCCTGTATGAAATAATGCTGTCATATTTGGGCTGGTTGATCTAATGATGCTCTTCCTCTTCTAGACAAGGGCCAAAAAAAGCATTCGCCCTGCTCTAGCTGCCAAGTTTGAGTTTCTCTCCCATCATTGTAAAGTTGCATCTATGTCTCTTTTCTACAAATACTACCATGATCGCTGCTCAAAAAAACTATCATCTCTAGTTCCTTAACTAAAACTCATTCTTGTTTGACTCGCTATTCAGCAAAGTCTAATTCTTTTACTGTGTCTGTCCCTACATGCTTTCAAAATTTGTATTCACCTAGTTTTTTTCTTTTCTCGCACTTAAATACTTCAGGACTCTCTCCCATCTTCATATTTTCCTGATTTATGCATCCTACAACTTTTCAAGGCTTCCTTCAATCGTTTCCTTGCTACTCAACTCTGTTCTTTGTTTTCCAGTAGCTCTTAACTTAAAAGTGGTTGCTTGAAGCCTTGCTGGAAGTGAATCAGAATTAAAAAAAAATTATTTTTCAATATATAAAGTTATAGTTTTTTTGCATAATAAATTAATTTTAATAACTTTATGTAAAGTATGCCTGAATTGCCATAGCTTGCTGCTCTTCCTTGCATATCTGATTTTTTTTTTAAATCTTTTCAAAAAAATTATGTTGCACAGAAGTCATGATTGAGATACTTATGTTATTAATATGCTTAGGTTATTAGTTAAGTCTGTGCATTTAACGCACATCAAAGTGACATCTTTCTTTTTTTATAGAAAAAAAAATTTTTACATTCAAACTTTGACTTTCTTCAAAAATAGTTAACTGGGCAGGGGTCCTAATAATCTGTGACCTGTCATGGAAATTATATATAAAAATTTAATAAAAACGTAATAGAAAGTTAAACTAAGTTTAACTTTCTATTATGTTTTTATCAATTCATAAGAATTAAGAAAGTCGTAAGAATTAAAATATTAAAAAATTTAAATCCTTACTTATTATTTTTTTGTTATGGGTATTTTAGATATTTTGCGCTTTGGCGCTATCAAAATAACATTATTTATCCTTAAATACCTTTTTAATCAGTCATTAAAAAGGTTAACCAGTACAAGAAGCATTAATAAATAGACTATACAATTTTTTTTTTTTTTGATTTTACTTTGAAATATATACTATTAAATAAAAAATGCTTAAATTTAGACTTCAAAATGATGATTTGAAATGTGATTCGAATTGCGAATAAAGACCTGCTTTGATTCAAGATTCGATTCGAAACAAAAACTGCCAATTTGCAGGGCCCTACTCAAAACTAAGATTTTAAAGATAATTATTTTCTACCACTTACAAAAAATTTAAATAAAACAACTATTTATTATATATATTACCATGATCTGTATAATATGGGTCATGCTAAGTCTATTCCATACGACCATTTCTATACTTATTCTTTATATTATAAAGAATAAGTATAGAAATGGTCAGTATGGAATAGACTTACCATAACCCATATTATACAGGTCATGGTAAGCTCATTATTCTACATACTTCTAAGTCTAATTCCAAATGTTTATTAAACTTTTACTACCAATTGTAATTAATCAACACATCTCAAGCAGGTATTTTAAATATTATTTATTAATATTCAAACCACTAAAAAATAGGGATTCACACTACCGAAGCAAAAAAACTTAATTATATTATAAAATTTATTTTTCCATAACTTTAGGTAATATGTATAGTTTTTCTATAAATATGTATTGAATTATGATTAATGGTCAGTGTGAAACAGACTTATCAAAACCTGCATTTACGTGTCCAGACAGCTAGTTATGGTATTAGGCTCAATTTACTTTTATTAATAGTGCATTAACTAGAAGTTGAATTTAAACTTTAAACTCAATTTACTTTTATTAATAGTGCGTTATCTGGAAGTTGAATTTAAAATTATTTTTATGCTGCCAGCTTATTCTATTTAGGAGAGCCTGTGAGTCTATTGATGATAACATAACTATAATTAGAAACCAAGAGAATATAATTGATTACAAAATTATGTCATTCAGACTTTTAGAACAAATGTTTTTTGACTTTAAACAACTAGAAACTTTTTTTTGTTGTGAAGTGTCACACTTTATGACAAAGCCAATGAAACCAGGTTAGCTAAATAAGCAAAGTTAGTAAATAATATGCTTCTGTTTTATAAATAGGTGTTGTAAAAAATTGGCATTTTTATTTGCACATTGGCATGTGCAAATAAAAATGAAAACATTGCAAATTTATTATATAAAACATTTCCACATAATCATCTTTATTATGAAATGAGTATAACAACGAAACAAATAGTATGGTTAAACAAAAAATAGAGGAAAGAAATTTTGAAATACTTTTTCTTTGGTTATTTCACTTTCCCTGCATCTCTCTTCTAAAACCTGAAGATCTTTACGAAGAATTGCATTTTGTGACTTTTCTTGAGCAGTTTTACTTTTTTGTTGCTCCAGAGCAACTTCAGCATTCTCTAAAAGAAACTTTTTTTGTTGTACCTCACGCTTGAGCTGATCATTCTGGCGTTCAATGGCATCAATTTTCTGAATTGCAACATGAGACAAATTATTTTTCCATTCATCTTGAGCCCAGCTCATTTTATACAAAATCTAAACACAAAAACTATTGTATCACTAAGTATGCATGTATATGTGTGCATGTTTTTTTGATTGTTTTTTGTATTTTTATATTTTTCTAAATATATATATATATATATATATATATATATATATATATACATATATATATATATATATATATATATATATATATATATATATATATATATATATATATATATATATATATATATATATATATATATATATATATATATATATATCATATAATGTTCCATAATATAAAAATATATAATATAATATTATTAATATGTAAATAGTAGAGGTGTACCAACACATCGGCATCAACCATTTAGCTGATGCATCAACATTGGTTTTGGTAACCATTGGCCGATGCCAATTAATTTCAAAAATTAGTTTTTATTTTTTTAAAATTTAGGGTCAATAAATTGACGAAGGTATGTGGGTAAATTCTGGAACGTTGGTAAAGGGATAAATAAAGAAACTAAAAACTACTCATTAATTATGTTTCTCTAAAATGAAATATAATATCTCAGTTTTAACATAAGCAACCTGCAAAGCGCAATAATTTCTTTATATTTAAAATATAAAATGTAAGACAATGGAATAAATGTCAGGAATCAATACTTTTTTTCTTATAATTTTCTGTTGTGAAGCATTCGTCAGCTTTTCTTTTTCTGCACTTTTTTGCATGATCAATAATAGATTCTTTAACTTTTTTGCACTGTTCATGTAAGGCAATTTTTTTTTTCCACGTTGAATTTATATTTAAAAATCTTTCTTCAACTTTTCTATTTTTCCGATGGAATTTCATTTTTTTATTATAGCGTTTGCTTGCAGTTTGCAAATGACCACAGATATTTTTGTTAACTGGGTCATGCAATATATCTCGCCTTTTAAAGTACCCTACTGCTGTGGTCTCATTTGCTAATAATTGATACTTAACTGAAGCTATAGCAGAGTACGCTAAAGTATCAAGACGGTTTGTCTTTTTGCTAACTATAGTGTTCATCATGCTGAATGATTGCTCAACATGAGGACTACTAAAAATACTTAAGCATGCCTTGATAATCTTACTAAGCTCTAAATATTTTTTACACTTAAAAACTTCACCAATAGTCAAGACGTACGGGCTTCCCATCATCAAATATGGGTGGAAGCGCTAAATCTATCTGAAGCTGCATAACTTCTCGATTAAATATTACTTTATTTATATCTACAGAGGGAAAGAAAGTTGAGAGTTTTTTTAGCATTCTCTCTGTAATTTTGTGACCTTGAGACATTGGGTCGATCGCAGAGAGGCATTTTAATAAAGGGTTGTTAAAGGGTAATTTATTAAGTAAGTAAACTGACGATTCAAGGTAAGCTTTTAGCAAGGTCTTTAAAAACGATGATTTGAAATCAGGATTTCGAATAAGTATTCTTGACAAATATTTTTCAGCATTACTTCCAAGGTATATGTAGTTCGAATGGCGATACATTTTTTTATCTTTCAGGTTTAAAAACTTCAACTTTTCTCCTGTTATATTTTTTATCATCTTTGGCTTAATAAAACAAGTTAAAATTGTTTTCACTAGTTCAATTTGCTCATCATAAATTCGATGGACTAACGGTTCTTTTTGTTCAAAAGTTAAAATGAATGATTTAAAAATAGGAAGAATTTCAACGTACAAATTAATATAAAGTAATGTTTCATTACGTCGGAAAAATAAACTTTTAACAATTCTAGCTTTTCTTTCTGCACCTTGTTTTGTTAGTTTTTTCTGCTGCATTTTACATTTTATTTTTACTATTAGTTTCTTACTTTCATTTGATAGCCTCTTTAAAATTTTGTCACTTTCATCTTTATACAGAGAGATGTCTTGTTTTGATAGCCAAGAAGAATAAATTAAGGTGAAAGCAGGCATCATCTCAAGCATAGGAAGAGTGCAATCTAAAACAGACAACCATCGATGACAAACCCTTTGCTTTGGAGTGTTGTATGTGACACCTGTGATTTGACAGATTTTTTTTAGAAATGTACGAAGATCTGGGCTATATTTAAAATCAATGTAGATATCATCCAGTAAGTTTTCAACTACCTTGCCGAAAAAAGAAGTAAATTTTTTGACAACATTATACACATGATGACAAATATCACCATCAATATCAAGTAAGTGAGGAACCGCTTTTCTTAACCTTGTTTCAAACCTACTGATTTTTCCTCTCATATAATTGGTAAAATCTGATAAATTGGAAACAAGATTACTTAATGGAATTGCGTCTTTGTTAAATAAATGAATAACAGCATTAAAAAGACTTTCGGCATTTACCGTAACAAGCGATAATGACGTGTAGTGCTTTAATACAACTTTATTAGTTTTGTCGCAAAAATATGCTACGAGTATACTGAGAACCTTCTCATTTTTTGCCGAGAAGCACTCATCTATGTTAAGGGAGAACATTTTTATTTTCATATCAAAAACAAGCTCAGCATGAAAAGCTTCACCTAATCCTTCTCGAAGCTTATACGAAGCAGTTGTTCTGAACATTTTCAAATTTTTTAAAACACGATCTTTAGACATTTTCTTTGCGTATTCAATCATATGGGATGTTAAAGATATTGGAAGATTGTGTTCACAAATAAATGCGAGTGTCATAGCTTCTGCATTTGATGTCCTGTCTCTAAAACTTACATTAGGTTTAATGGTAGGCTTTACTCTCTTTGTGCAAGTACTGTCAATATGCACGTTATCCGGAGTGCCATATGGCAATATACACATATCTGTTTTTTTTAAATTAGTAAAAAATGACGACGGTATGGCTTCGTTGGACTTAATCATTGCGCAGTTTTGACAATGCATTTTAGACTTTAAGTGGCTGAGTAAAGATTTTTTACCTTCACTTCCATAATAAAAGTCTTTATTACATATTGTACATCGTACCTAAAACATCAAATCAAATAATATATAACTATGATGAAGTTATATATTTCAGTGTTCAGTTAGAGAATAAACTTACCGCTCCGGCTTTATTTATCTTTTTAATATAGGCTGAATAATGCTCATCATTATAGTCTTTCTCTTGAAGCCAATTCCAGCGAAACTTGTTTTTAATATTTTTGTCTATCTCAGAAATGTCAGATAAACTCTTAACTTGCATTTTCTTTTCTTTCTTCTTGATAGTAATTTTTAACGACAAGATCTTTTGCAAACGTTTAAAACGGAATTTACATCAATTAACTTCTTAAGAGAAAGAATTTCTAATATTCGAAAAAGTTAATTTGAATGAATTAAAAAGAAAAAAATTTTTTGAAAAAATTGATCTCGTGAAAATTTCATTTATAGAAAACATAATTGCTTAAATGCAAACCATGCCGTATTTAAAATTTTATATAACTTTTTACAAATCAATAGCAAAAAGCATCCGGAATTTCCCAGAAACTTGATGTGAATTTCCGGAATTCCGGGAATTCCCGGAAAAAACTCATCTATGAAAATAAGGAAAACACATTTCTATTTGTTGGAGAATATAATGTAGATTGTTTAAAATATGGTGGGAAAAAAAAAAGATTGCTGATGCCTTTAATAAATAACCCAACGAAAATTACGCAAAATCTTTACACTACATATAATAACATACTCACAAGCAGCTTTTACCACTGTGCAATCAAATCTTGCATTATTATAAGTTACATAACAGACCAGTTCCCAAAAAAAAAATTCAAACTAGAGTTTGTTCTTTTTTCTAGCAAATGGTAACTTATACTCAGCTGCAAGAATTTGACAAAACCAAGAACCTTTTTCTATTTAAAAGTCTTTCATAAATGAGTTATAGGCCTAAGTTGAGAAAACTAAGATACAATTAAAAGACTTTTAATTAATCTACCCAAAACAGTTTGCTGAACAGTGTAATAGGTTCATTCTAAATTTAAACCTACATGGAATATATTTAAACAGGTAAAGCAGTATACTCAATATCAAGGGCAGCTCTGCAGTTATTATTATTGAAAGAAAAGTTTAAATTAGCGTTAACTTTTTGTTACACTAGAGCAGGATAAAAAATTATTAGATTTGGCTGAATTATACCATATATAGATTTACATTGTATATGTTTTAAAATGCTTTTGTTAATTTAAATTTTGCTTAAGCTAATTGAAACTTAATTTAAATTTTTTTTGTAATTGGCATCTAAAATACTTAAATGGGCTTAGAAACCTTCAATTTTACCTTTTGTCTCATTTGTGACCCTTATTATTTTTTTACCCCATTTTATAAACAATTTTTTAATTTTTATAGAACAAATACTCTTGAATAAAAAATAAATTTTTGCAATATGTATCTAAAATGCTCAAATGGGCTAAAACCCCCTCAAATTTTTTCTTTTGCTCCATTTATGACTTATATTATTACAGCAATTAGCAAGTCAGTTGTAGAACAAGAAAGTTGAAAACCTTTTTAATTATCAGAGAGTTATCAGACTTAAGATGGGATGTTAGAAACTTGTTGATCAAATACTCAAAGACCTTGCTAATGATAGAAAGACTGATTGAATGATAGTTAAGTGTCAGAGTGTTTTCCAGACTTCTTTACTTCCAGTAACTTCTGGGGTATCTCAAAGTTCTATAATTGTTCCTCTATTTCATTTACATTAAATATCAACTTTATACTCATGTCTTGAAAAAGGGTCTTCTCTTTTCAAATGCTTAGAACAGGCAGCCAACTTGAATTGATCTCTCTTCTGTAACAGCTTGAGGCTTGCAGTAGGTTATGAATTTTAACTCGAACAAAACCCAGTTAATTACTGCAAACAATTATGAAAATTTTTTCAACATTCCTATATGAATATGAATAGCAATCCTCAAACTAAGTCCTCTTTATTACCTCTTTTCTGATTATCATTTACTACTGACCTTTCATAGGAATGATTTATACAAACAAAGTTAGCATTATTTTTTCTTAATTGTGCTTGCCATTATCTTGATTCCACTCCTAATTCCATTCTTGAACTCTACAATTGTAGAGTTCAAG